ATAATTTTGAGTCAGTCAAATAATCAATTAAACGACTGGTCGTTTCAGAGCCACGCGCAATATCGGGTCAATAAAAGGACCAGAGTGCACGCACTCTGTCAATAGCAGCATGTTTTATTTTAGCAATGCATCGTGGGATAAGGAAGGTTTCTGTGACCCATTACTTTTGATATTATTTATTATTAAAATATTAGTGGTTAGTGTCAACCAACAGAAGCTATGCAGTAAATTAATAAAGCGGTCCACAGAAAATTAATCAGGGTCATTTTTGGTAATTTTGTTTCCAGTATTTAAAGTAGGCACAAAATTATCCAGTTTCAGCTGCCAAGTGTGATAATCATCCGCTTTTGTATGTCAGATACCTTTAAATGTAAAGAAAAACCCACATTCATCTTTATCCTAAATTAACAACTAAACCCAGTAGTTCAGTTTTAGCTTTAAAACCACTTCACTTTGTTTTTGTATTGATTAATTTTTTCAGACTGAGCCATTTAAATAAACTTTATGGAAATTACCACATGGAGACTTTTTGATTGATGAAGTTGTGAAATCAAAATCAATTAAAGTCACACTGCAAATGCGTCATTGAAGGTTAATCCTGCTAGTATGCAAGAGCTGGACAATAACTCTTACACTGGCAATTATTCGCTGCCAAGTTCCAGGAAAACAAATATATCAACATAAAAAGACTTCTGGCAGCAGCTGTTTGGATCACAGGGAGTTCTGAACCCAATGGCATTTATTAAACAGTCCAGGAGTAATACATTAGAACCATTACACCACTAGAGTTGTGAACATTTTTGTATTTTTTGTGTTTTGTTTTTTTTTTAGTTTTTTTTTTGTCTGTTGGCTGAATAAAACAAGCCGTTATAAAATGTGTTTTTATTTTAAAAATGCATTTATTCATTTTTGTGACTATGAATTTCAGATTACGTATTCTACATTACCACTCAGAAGTAGTAGTTCTTGATCTAAAAAGTAAAGCCAGTGTGGAACTGCCTCAACCATCCAGTCGTATGAAAGTCTGTGGGACAAAGTAAGTGCTTGGCTTTCTTGCTCAAAGCCTTTATTAAATACTTTGCTGTTTCAAATGTTATTGAGTACAACATTATGCTGATGTTGTAAATTATGGTAGTTTTAGATGATAAAGCAAGGACACTTTGTGGCCATTAAACATACAGTTTATTGTCCCTGTCTGCGTCTTACTTGTTACATTCAGTTTGAAAAGGTGAAGCTGGTGATGGTGACACCAAACATTTTGCATCTTCAAAACAGGACTGTGCCAATTAATCAGTAACGTCATGGTGGTTTATTTAAAATATTAGCGAGATTTTCCCTGGCTTCAGTGGTGCAGAGTCAAGCAGTGTCTTTGTCTTCACCAAGCTGCTACCGAGTGTACTAAAAGTTCCATCCATCCATCTTCTTCCACTTATCTAGGGCCGGGTCGCGGGGGCATGAGCCTAATCAGGGAAACCCAGACCTCCCTTTCCCCGGCTACTTCCTTCAGCTTGTCCAGGGGAAAACCAAGGCATTCCCAGGCCACCTGAGAGATATAATCTCTCCAGCGTGTCCTGGGTCTGCCCCGGGGCCTCCTTCCGGTGGGACATTCCCATAACACCTTACCCAGGAGGCGCCCAGGTGGCATCCTTGTCAGATGCCCCCACATCCTCAACTGGCTCCTTTTCATGTGGAAGAGCAGCGGCTCTACTCTGAGCTCCTCCCAGATGGGCAAACCCCCACCTCATCTCTGAGGGAGAGGCCAGCCACCCTTCGGTGTCCAGTCCAACACACACCGGCAACTAGTCCAACTTATTGCCGGCTATGCAGACCAAGCTCCTGCAACGGTTGAACAAGGATTGAATGGCCCATAGTAATGGGCCAGACACCCCATACTCCCAAAGCGCCTCCCACAGGACACTCCGAGGGACAAGGTCAAATGCCTTCTCTAGGTCCACAAAACACACGTAGACCGGTTGGGCAAACTCCCATGCACCCTCAAGTATCCTTGAAAAGGTAAAGAGCTGGTCCAGTTTTCCATGACCAGGACGAAAAGTGCATTATTGCTCCTGCGTCTGAGGTTCACCTAACAGACGAACTCTCCTTCCCAGCACCCTGGCATAGACTTTCCCAGGGAGGCTGAGGTGTGATCTCCTATAGTTGGAACACCCTCCGGTCCCCCATCTTGAAGATGGGAACCACCAATCCAGAGGTACCGCCCCTCATCTCCATGCAACATTGTAGAGGCAAGAGGCCAAGACAGCCCTAGAACAAACCTCGTCCACCCCAGGGGCCCTGCCACCACAGAGTTGTTTAACCCCTAGAGATAGACAAGTCGTCACCCTCATCCCCAGACTCTGCTTCTTCCATGGAAGACGTGCCAGTGGGATTAAGGAGGTCCTTGAAGTATTCCTTCCACCGCCTGAGAGCATTCTCAGCCGAAGTCAGCAGCACCCCACCCGCACTATACAGAGTGCAGGTAGAGCACAGTTTTCCCCTCCTGAGGCAGTCCGAAAGTCTTTTTCCATGGCCTCTCTGAAACTCTTCCCACACCTGAGTTTTTAGCTTCCGCCACTGACCGAGCCATGTTCCACTTGGCCTGTCCGGTACCTATCGGCTGCCTCAGAATAACTAACCAATCCCAATAGGATAGTGTATAAAAAGACGTTCCACAGTTAAATTATGTCTCCCATCATTTTCTCTTGTCATTATATTTTCACCATACTGTGTGGTTATGTTTTGTGTGTTATCTATTATCTCTGAATTTTCTTACTCCTGAAAATTCTGTATCCACCAGGCTCTGCTTATAACAACATGGGAATTTAGCTGGTCTTTTCTTTTCCCCATTTTTAGAGTTAAGCTCCACGCTCCAGGCTTAGGGGTCATTCACACCACTCTTCACATTCACACAGGCTTCCTGTGGGGTTTTAAATGTCATCTGACTGCTGACTGACGAGGTGTCAAAGATAAGAATAGTTCGATCTGTTGAGAGGATGGAGGAGGAATCAATAAGCTGAAGAAACAAGTGAGGAAAAGAAGATCATGATACAGAGTGGTATAAAAACAGAAGGATGGAGTCTGATTAACTGATGACCTGTACTCCATCTCAGACCTCATCTGCAAAAGGTATCTGGAGTCTATCACAGCACGTCAATGCTGTTTGGCTGCAGTAAACTCCTCCAATGCAAGCAGGAGGGACACACACTGTTCTGCCAGCGTCGAGCTAGCACAGGATTCAGTGACGTCTGCTTGGAAAACCCAAACAGAACGCATCTTCGCTGACAGCCTATCCTGCACTGCCTTTTGTTTTATGCCTTGTCCAAACAGCTTCCCACAGAGTTCGCTTGAGTGCCAGCGCACTGCTGTAAATATGCAGATGATGATTTAGCTTCAGACGTTGCACTCAAGACCCATCCGTCTATCCGTTCATCTTAACCGCAGTGCTGTTGCTTAACTTCTGGGAAAGTGTGAGCCAGGCTTCGTCTGCTGATTAATTCCAGACGATGTTTAGTGTCATAACCCTCCACCCTTGTATTGTTTGAGAGCCCTCTTCATTGTAAGAAAGCTCTCCTAGGAAGTTGATTTACTCGAACACAAAATTTATACATCAGGACAGCCTCGATTATCACATCGCCACGTTTCAGGTGACGTTTGCTAAATCAAGCTATTTTCTTTTCCAGAAAGGAGTACTTGAATATGTCTTTTTTTTTTTTTTTAGGGTTTCAATTATAATTTGTTATCTAGCACAAAGATAGAAATTACTAGTAAGATTGTAAAACCTGCAGCCTTGACACTATAGAACAACATTTAATGAGTCCCACTGACAGCAGAGTATGGCTCAGAAAGTGCCGATACCCTCGTTTTGAACTCTCTGATGGCTAATAAAAGACATTTTGCTGTATAAACATTCGGGTGACATGCTAACGCTCGTTAAAAAGCTCTTTACAGAAAGCATTAGAGGGCCATTCGGGTCAGTTTCAGTGCTCTTTACACCCATTTAGCTGATTGTCACTGCCTCCACGTGTGGTAGATCATTGAGGTTGACCCCCAATAAAAAAGGAAAAAAAAAACCCAGCTGATTAATAAATTAAATCTTTTTTAGTGACCATGTGTGAAATCGAGTATTGGTTACTTGCTCTTTACTCAGTTTTTGCAGTTTTCTCAGTTAGGGACTCCAAACATAATACACTCGTGACTCACTATATAAATAAAGTTTGTTTGGTAGCAACTGCACAGCTGTCTTACCCATAAAATAGGGTCTGCCTTTGCTTGCTACCTGTGCATAAGCACTTGTGAGCGTGCATGCTGGCGACAGACCCATCCAAAGCAAGCCTAAGCTTTATTTCCCCAGGCTGGCTCTGCTCAGCTCAACACACAGGGAGCTAATCGATACTGATGGATGTGCAAAAAAAAAAAACCAGCTGGGGGAGTTGGAACGAGGCATCTCTGCCCTTGAAAATAGTCACATCTTTGTGGACTCACGCACTGTGAGCATGATTGATGTGAATATTAAAAGCGAAACTAACCTTGGGAACATTTAGCATTTAACATTCCAAGGCTGTAATGTGACTTGGAATAAGAGCAGCAGGAGACTTGGGTTTGGTTCCTGGATTAGAAACCATTAGCGAGGCCTGCGTGAGTCAAAGCTGCAGGGAGGGGATGAAAAATAGGTGGAATATTCCTTTAATGCAAGAGGGATTTTCTTATTCTTTGAGAAGGAGCAAATGGGGATTCAGTATGACGCTGGGATGTAAATTACCTAACAGAGCAACCTACATTGGCAAAAATAGGCAGAAGCAGGGCTGACTGGAGTGGGAAGGTCAGTCTGACACGGTGCAGCCTGAAGAAGAGTGGAGGACGGTTGCTGCAGGGAGGCGGGCGAGCTGATCACTGTGCAGCGAGAGAGCAGATGACGGGAAGTAAGTAAACACTGCCTAAGAACGAGGAAGCCATCTCTGCCCCCAGGTTAAAAAGTATCGAGTAAAGTCAAACACAAACACATGATCTATCCAACAATGTTTATTGAGTTCATTTTTTTTTCTTTTTTATTTGACAGGTAAAGAGACTTGAAATACAGCTGAAATGCTCTCAACAACAACTGTAAATACGCCAACTGGCACAGCACTGACGTCTTGTTGTGGGTTTATGATCTGCAGGAGGTGTGGACAGCATTTAAAAGAAAAAAAAAAAACGCACATTATCATGAGCAACAAGGAAGAATTTGAAAAAGGATGCAGACATTTATGGATGTGTTTGGCTACACTGACAGCTAGCAGTTAAATCATTTTTATTCTGTGGACAAAGATATTGATGTTCAGCTTGTTTGAAAAGGGCTACCACCCTGTTTTAAAAGAAAAATCGTGCCACAACCCAAGTCATGTTTGTTGAGTGTAAAAGACGGGCAGCTGGTGAGCAGAGTCACACAGTTAAACTTTTTAAGGTTTCAGCTTTATCTCTTCCTAAATCGCAACACCAGCGTCAAAGTCGCACTGACTTAATTTGTACTCTCCTCAGATCATTAAGCTCTCCCCATAAGGCAACAAATCAGATACTTGTTTTGAAAATTTTCAAAACGAGACCTTCTGTGGTCCAATAGATTATTGTTGGACTCGTGTAGAGTAGCTTTCAGAATAATCCTCAGCACTGTCCCTCATCTGTCTGACCTCAACCAGATTCTCTTCATTGGCTGCCCCTCATGAACAAATCATTTAAATAGGTGGGTGAGGCTTCTGTGCGCCTCAGGTGACCACGTTAGGGATATCCGCTCTCACAGTTGGATAACAGGAGGCCCACAGAGGTCACTCACACAAAGGCTGATCTCCATATTTGAAACTGGCCATGTTAAATATGAACATCCACTATTTTTAATGTGTATACATAAAAGACAAGCATAACCGGCCTCCTTTTAAAGGCTCTGAAATGTCAAGTGCATTTTACATAATTTTCTAGGGTTAATTATTTTATATATACTTATTATTTCAGGCCGCCTTTGTCCAGTAATTAAAAATATCTACTTTACTATTGTGAGATTATAAATAGAGATAATATTGGAGGGACAAATGAAAGGCAAGCCGGCGTGTCAATGGAGCAACGTCACAGTAAAGTCATGTTCAAAGACAATGCCCTTTTCTCAGTCCCTGCTTGCACTTGCTTTTAGTTAGCAGTAGCGAGGCACAGTTTAATCAAAGGGTAACTGTGGATCGATTGCTGCTCTGTCACCAGGAATGGATATGAAGCTTTTATTACTTTGAAGTCGGTGTCCTTCTCTACCATCTCTTCAGCCCTGAGTTTATATTCTTACAAAGGGTTGTCAAAGTGCTGTTAATCACAGACAGAATCTGCTTGAGCTGTATGATACAGTTTTTCGTCAGGTGAGAACTTAAAAGTGGATAAGTGGAGCTGTGGTAACTGCAAAATGAGGCATTTCAGGGAAACATCTTTGTGGCGTAAACTGAATCCATAGCCTTTTGTTTCTTCCCATACAAAGTGAGTGCAGCATGTTCTCATACCCATGGTGTCAAATACTGCCATTCTTATCAAAGCTGCTAACGTCTCAGACACACAAGGAGTCCTGTGGCACCTCTGCCATGGTGCACCGCAGTACTGCAATAGCAAGACAGGTTTCAACTAAAGGTTTGTGGAGGACATGGTGTTACAAATAAATGCACAGGTTACATTTTCAGTGTGCAGGGCTTTCTAAATATAGCCAGTCAGTATTTAGTATTGAATGAACGCAACTAAAACTTGTGACTTAACGTGTACTCACAATGGCTTCCCTGCACCTTGGCCAAACATAACTCTCTCCTACCCAGACCTCCCAGGCACTTGAGTTTATCTCAGCATCTCAAACATGGAAAGTATAAAAGATGGATTTGGCGAAGCTAATGTGCTTTAAACTTGTGTTCTTTCATGCTCCCCAGCAGGGGAGCAATGACTCTGGGTACAAAAAACCTCTGATGGTAGGGGAATCTCTGGTAAAATACCCCAGACTTCTTCGCTTTCTTAATAACGTAAACGCTTCTAATGACGATGGGATCAATCGCTAGCTTTGGGTTGTCTTAAACAAATGGGGAAAGCGCTCGGCTTCATAACAGGATTTTACTAACCAGCGACAAAGTCACGGGGCTGCACCCAGTCTACAATGTGAGGTCCTGTCTCAAAAGCTCCCAACACATGAGGTTAGTGATTTCAAGCATGTAGGTCACCTTTGTCCGTATAGATTTCATTACTTAACACAGTGATTGTCATGAAGACGGCTGTTATGGACTGTGTAATGGTTGATGATTATCACTGTTTGTTGAACACTGGTTTTGACTTGTGGTTGTTTCAGTCTGTTAAAAATGGTAGATGCAATAAGATGAAGGCTCATCCAGCACTTTTTTGGGGGGTCAATAATTTGTTCTATTTAATTCAGTTCTTTTGTTAATTATTTTTATTTGGTGTTGTTTTCAAAACCTTTTTCAAAATTACCTATTTGTAATTTTGAAGAGTACTACTGTGTCCATTTAATATCGCCGTGACCTTTGCACCAAGACACTGAGGCCAAAGGTCAACTTGTACGCGTGTCTTCAGCTGTGTCTTAGAGAGCGGCAGTGTTTGAAACCTTGAGATGAGTCCCTGTAGGATCTATTCAATGATTCTGCTCAGCAAAACCAAGTAATTACAAGAAAACAGACTGATGAGTTTTCTTTTTTTTCCACAGCCAGAACAGATTTCTCATTTGGTTTATTTTGAATATCTGTGGAATTGGTTTGGCTTTTTTTCTTTTTTTTTTCTTGGAAGAAATCTAATCTTTTTAATATTTATTACAGGTTTCAGCACTCTCGTGTGGGAGGAGCATGCTCCAAAAATAAAAGCCCCATATATTCCCCAATGAAACGCTAATGTGATTAAAACTGCAAGCTGTTGAGTGCATTAACGTCCAGTCACCGGTTTCTTCCGTGCAGTTGCTGGTTCTGAATTTTGAGACTTTGTTGTTGTTTGCACCAAAGAAACTGTATGAATACATTCTCTTATTCGTCCTTCTGTCTCGACGTGTTGGCGCACTCCACCGGGAAAACTCGGGTCACTTTTCCTCGTGATAAACCTCGTTACCAGATGTCCACAGACAAATAAAACTTTGTATTTCCACAGACATATTCATATATCTTTTATAAAATAAATCTTGTATTTCCAAGTGTACAATAATAAAATGATGCACTCTGCAGAAAAAAAGGTAACAGAAAACTCCATATATACACACAGTATACTGTTTTGGCAGACAAAAACATGGACAAGTTCAGTATTGTAAACAGCTCTTTACTCCCGTTCACATGTGTTCGTCTACCATTTATTGACTTCTCCCGTCGGCTTGTTGTTCCTCCTGTCCCGTTACATTCATACAGTAAATCCAGAAAATTGTGCTTTAGGAAATCTCTTACAACAATCCGCGGCTTTTTTTCCTTCATATCTTTTCTTAACACCTGTTCTGCTGAGTAGAAGTGCACTGTCTCCAAACAGCTGAATGTCTTAAACAGTCTGGTGGCTGGTAGTTCACTCATCTCTCCTGGTTCAGTCAGGAGAAGAGTTGGGGTTAGACGAATGGCAGCAAACTTGTGCAGTGGCGTGGAGGATGTAGAGATCTGAGCTTGATGACTGGGAAGGTTTGGTGGCACATGTGCAGCAAATGCTCCATTAGTAATTTGCCAGTTATCTAGACTTGAATTAACTTGCAGTGAAGCCGTGTGGTGAACTGAGCTCGTGCCTGGAAAAGCAGCGTTTTACTGATGGCAGAAGTTAGAGAGGTTAAAGCTGCGCTTGGGATGCAGGAATGTTTGTGATGGAATGTGAAGAAACACTAGCGTGCACGGAGCAGTGATGTCTGGGTAAAGACACAGACTGGTGAAGGAGCAAAGCTTTGGGTTTTGAGCTCAGGAGGCAAGAACAGAGTGGAGGTCTGAAGGTGGGCGTCAGGTCTGCGCGTCTAGTTGTCCTCGTCCGTCAGCTCCTCCTCCGCGATGGCCTTCTCCGGGATGGCCTCAAGGCTGCATCTGCTCTTGGACTCAGAGCCGAAGGAACCGCTCACCGCGCTACCTTTAGTCAGTTTACAGGTGAGCGCGGCATAGTGGATCTGCTTGAGGTTCTCCTGGACTTCGCTTCGGGCATGCTTCAGTAGATCCGCCTGGCCCTGAGAGGTAAACACAGATCACAGAGTCAGACAGCAGCAAATTGGGTGTCAGGAAAAACTGTAGCTTGTAAAACTTCTTTCAGTTTAATTTGTGCAACGCTAATTCACTACACAAACATCTCAAGGGGTGTTACACTGTAAAATAAAGAAAACCATACAATATCAAAGAGCACCCCAAATATTTGATGGTATATTATTAGCATATATTTTCTATTCTCTATGAACAGCACTTGGGAACAGTGGGGTTAAAGACCTCTAGTTGAACCAGGCTCAGGGAGGAAGCTGCAGAGCTGATCGCTCTTACCTCTGTGTTTAGATTAATGTGTTGTAGAGTTGTGTCAGTGTCAGATTTAAGATGTTATTGGCTCCGAAAAGTTTATTACAAATGCTTTGTGAAGGTCACTGACTCACAGTCCATAAACATTCCAGTTTCACTAACGTCCCACAAAGTGTCCTCGTGCCTCTGCTGTGTAGTGACAAACGTAACGAATCATCCATCCGTCCATCTTTTTAAACGCTTGTCTAATTCAAGGTCACAGAGAGGGTGGAGCTTATCCCAGCTGTCATTGGGCGAGAGTCAGACCCTGAACAGGTCGCAGAGCTGAACACGTCTCCTGTATACTTTAATTTCACTGCAGTTGGTTTTATAAGCACAACATACAGTTGAGTTTTTAATGAAATTTGAAATGTTTTTCACACCTAGTTCTACCTGTAACTTTATTTTTCTTAAACATGTATTCACTGCTTCAACATTACCTGAACATCTGTGCAGTTCTAACACTGAAAGTCCACAGCAGGCTTAAATAGTTCATTTTAAGTTGGTTAAAACACAAGTTACATGAGGTTTCTTTTATACGTGAGAGCCTTTATCATTGTGGAACACGTGACTGTTAAAGCAGCATTTACGGCCGACTAGATCATTTTCCTGACCAACAATCAGATTTCCTCCCAGCAGCGTTTCTCTGTCGTCACTTCCCTTAAATGTCAGAGTAGCTGATGCAGTCATCAACGTGCACTTTAGTTCAACTTGTCAGGCTGACTATGATCAAAACTTGATCTGCACTGTAACACCTTATTGATTAACAGTGATCAGCTCTGCTCCTGGTGCTGTGGCAGGGAACACACTCGGTGCTTTTAGCCATAAATCATGCAGCTCACTGTAGTGTATCTATTTATTCCTTTCCTTTGTTTCGTTTGTATACAGTCTACATGCCATTGTAGCAGGATAAAGGTTAAGTAAGCTGAGCGTATACAAGCAATCCCTGTGTCCTGAAAATCTCAAGACTCCTCTAAACACTTGCTGAAAGGCACTTTTTTTTTTCCCAACTAATGTCATGATGTCAAAAAGGATCAGAAGAAATGTAGCTTACAGCTAAGTGAGAGGATGAAGCGAGCAGGGCCCATTGTATGATAAATAAAGGTTATTATGCAAAGCTCCTCTAAGCAACGTGGTGGCATTGGCCTCCATTAATAAAACTGGCTTGACTTATAAGTGATGTGACTGAAAATCTCACCTTCAGAATGGTGATGTTCCACGTGAAGCTCTCCACAGCCTTGTGCAGCTTTCTGCCTTTCAAGCCTTCCTTCACAGCCAGGTCGTGGAGGTTCTCGTGAAATTCCATAGCTGCGAGAGAGAAACAGACGAGAATGAGTGTCGAGTCAGTGCGGTGTTTGTTTAGGAAAGAAGAACAGCTGCTGCGAGAGTGGAGTCTGGGATATGCGAGGCTTGCTAGGCTTGTTGTCACTGTGAGGAAACGCATGCAAGCAAAGACCCTGGCATGTACTGTCGACATTCACATTTCTCCAGCAGCAGAAAACTTCAGTCTGCGGAAGTACAGAGACTCTCCGGAGGTGGGAGAGCATTACTGTCTCCTCACTGCACGCATACGAGGTGATAATGGATCGCAGTGGCCACAGTTACATACATACCAGGTCTGGAAAGCAGGTGAGATTGTCCTGTAGCACAAACTCCATGAAAATATTAAGTCGTGTGGAAAGCAGACGTGATGGAAAATGTGCTCTGTTTTTCAGCTTTTCATTGACCGCGGAAGGAAAATGTATCCGACTTTTCTTGGGACTGCTTTGTTTTATTAGAATCCACACAGTGTTTATACATAGATTTTCACTGGGATGTCCCTGTCAGCGAGGGACTGTTTTATGCCTCTCTTCAGCATCATCAATGGGAAATCTATATCATGCAGTGACTAGTGTGCAAATCCTGGGTAAACCCTCCTAATACAGGGATGCTAAGGGACAGGAGTACAGATGAGGAGAAGGAAACAGTGAGGCGGGATAAAAGAGACCCAGAAACAGAGAGAGTGGGAGACGGACACGACGCTCTTTCACTGTGGATTAGCATCACGGCCTCCAACAGAGGAGGGATTTGTCTCCTGAGGAGCTTTCCCACCTCTTCCCTCCTCTCCTATTTTTCCCCCTCCTTCCTCTGCATGACTGAGTCCGACTAAGGACATGTTTAAAGTTGACTTTGCTTTGCAGGGCAGCAACAGGAAACTTCAGCCTGAGAACCATAAACCAAAGGCAGACAGAGCAGAGACTCCATGACTGCGTAACATCTCTGCACTGGAAACTCCACATACATTTCCGCTTGAATCTCTGATAACAGCTTGAGCCAGTCGTAGTTCCTGTCAGTGCTGTTGCCATGGAAACATGGTGTGCACGAGAGAGAGAGAGAGAGAGAGCGAGAGACAACAACCCCCCCCCCCAACCCCATTTGTGTGAAATCTCCATTATAGGTGTGTGGTGCTGGGCTGTTTTGGAGCCACTCAACTGAGGATTTGCGTCTGTCACCAGACTTCTGGCATGAATACAACCTCAGGAAGCTGACGGGACTCAGTCAGTTGTGACACATTTATCATATTTGTAGCAGATGTCACGTCACCGCTCCCAAGTTGTTTTTTTGTATTTTCCCCACCATTTTTGCTATAATCGAATGTGAAATGACATCTGTTTAATTCCAGGTCACTACTGTAACTACAGAGCTGCTGCTGCTGCGCACATGAACCATGACGGTGCTGAAGAAGGTGCACACACACACTTAACTTACACTGAAGGTTGCCTAGCAACGTTTTATGGAGTCTGGCAGGCAAGAAAGGGGAAAGCTCGTTCTTAGCAAAGCATTTGAGACTCTAATCTCTGAGGTAATGCTGCAAGACTGCAACTGTACAGTAAAGCCCGCTTCGAGAAGGCTGAGGCGTAATGTGAAGGATTGCAGCATGACCTGAATTTTTCAATAGGTTAAATTCATAATTCTTTCAGCAAGACAGGATCATATCTACTTATACCACACATGCCACTAAAACCTAATTTTATCAGACATGGAGTACAAATCCAGATTAAGCAATTATCCAGGTCTGGGTCACAGGGGCAGCAGTCTAAGCAGAGACACCTGACCTCCCTCTTCCCACTATATCCAACAGCACTTTCACAGGACACTGAGACGTTCCCAAGCCTGCCAAGAGACACAGAGCCTCCAGGATGTCCTGGAGTGCTCTAGGTAGGACGTGCCAGAAACGCATTGCATAGGTGGTGTCCGGGAGGCGTGAACTACATCTTTCAGTGTGGAGGAGCAGTGGCTCTGCTCTGAGCCCCCCCTCACTGAGCTCTTCGGCCTGTGTCTGTGCCCATACCCCTTTCAGAGTACACTACTCCCAGCTCGTGGCCACGGGTGAGGATAAAGTGTATATTGATCAGTAAATCTCAACTCATTCTTTACCACAATGGGCCAGTCCCCAGAGATGCTGCAACAATACAACAGCTTCTTGGTCAATTGCACTTTTTTCTGTTTGTTTAATATTGCTGAAATTAAGCCTTTTGGCTAAGAACTCACACAACTGTACTTGTATACAGTCGTGTGTCTGTATGTATAACTGGAGTGATGATAAACTGTTGACTCTATGTATAAATGTTCAGAAATCTACATCTTAAAGTAGAAAAGCTGACAAGCAGATAATTAGCCAGAAAATGAAAAGAATCAAAGTAATGGTTATTATATCCTTAAAATATCCACTGCTCTACAAACGGATTAAAGAAAGCTTAAAGGGACAAGATTGTTTTACACAATTTGATTTTTGAGAATCTGTCATGTTATCTTGTAAAATAAACTTTGGCTCTTTGCTTTGTATTCTGCCAAATGTCACAGTGGCTCCACTTTGCACTGAATACTGTAATTTTGAACTTGGCATTTAAAAGAACATCTTCTGTGCTGATCATGTTAGTCTGCAGCAGCTTTGGCCATCCAGCTCCCCCAAATGTTAATTGGAACCTAAGTGAGTATCGGGTGAGAGAGGTGACATCCCTGTTTGAGCTGCAAACACCTGACTGAGTTCGCCGACACCACCTACGTCCATTTTTTTCTCTCTCTCTCCTCCTTCGTCTGAGCTGATGTGATGGATTATTCACAGCTTTAATAGCTGCTCCTGCTGAAACATTCTGCTTTCTGTAAAGGGGGAATTGGGTTTATACTGACCCAGTTTCTACTCAACAGACGCACAAAACCATGCTGCATGCACCGCTGGGATAGAATTATGTCAGTTTGGGATGGAAAATAAATCAATGTTCAAGTTCATCAGTTTGCCATCTGTTGTGTCCTAGTTTGCAATTGTTGGTTGTTTAATTTTCTCCAGTTGATTTTGGATAATCATATATAAATATGCTTTGAGATTTAAGTCCCCATCATGCTTCTCTGGAAGCTTTTGAAATAAAATAAAAAAAATGCTTGTCTTCTTACATTTTTACTCCCGTCTTACTCGTTTGTTGGACTATGGTTTCATTTAAAGTGTCCTAATATGTCCTTCCATACAGGAGGTTGGCCGCTGCACCCTGCCTACATTTTTGAGGCAGCTCATGGTTTTCACGTGTAATATATGCTGTTTCATGTCGTTCTGCGTTTCTATTGGTCGAAATGTATTCCACACAGGCCATGCAGTTCAACGCAGCTGAACCAGGAAACGCTCGCATTGGCTGCATTTGTCAGGTCGGACCGAGGAGCAACTTCTGAAGCCAAAACAGCGCCAATACCTCCAGTTCCCCTAGTGCCCTGACCCCCATCGTAAGCAAATGCTTCGAGAAGCTGGTCAGGGACTTCATCTGCTCAGCTTACAGGGAGGAGGTCAGCGCCCTGACCCACTGGTGTCAAGACAACCATCTCACCCTCAACGTCGCAAAGACAAAAGAGTTGATAGTGGACTTCCGGAGGTGCAGAGAAGTACACACCCCCATCACCATCAACGGCGCTGCTGTGGAGAGAGTGAGCAGCTTCCGGTTCCTTGGAGTACATCTGGCTGAGGATCTTACGTGGTCAGTACACACAAACAAAACAGTGAAGAAGGCGCAGCAGCGCCTCTTCTTTCTCAGGAGACTGAAAAGATTCGGCATGAGCCCCCGCATCCTCAGGACCTTCTATCACTGTGCCATTGAGAGCATCCTCACTGGATGCATCACCACCTGGTATGGCAACAGCACCGCCTACAACTGCAAAGCTCTCCAGCGAGTAGTGCGGTGCTCTGAACGGATAATTGGAGGTGAGCTTCCCTCCCTCCAAGACATCTACAGGAAGCGCTGCCTGAGGAAAGCGGGGAGGATCATCAAGGACTCCAGTCACCCCAGCCATAAACTGTTCAGACTGCTTCCATCAGGAAGGAGGTTCTGCAGCATCCGGTCCCGTACCAGCAGACTGAGAGACAGCTTCTTCCATCAGGCCATCAGACTGCTGAACACGTCATAGACACCTCAGCTTCACTACTGGAACTTCAACATTATGCACTCCACACTGTATATAAATGCCACTTGTTTTGCACATATTCAACTCTGTATATTTTATATATTTTATTTTATTTTCTTACTATTTAATTTGTAAAAATGTGTACTCACACACACACACACACACACACACACACACACACACACACACACACACACACACACACACACACACACACGTAGGAAAATATTTAGTATACACATCCAGAAATGCATACACTATTATATATTGTACATATATTTATTAGTTTCAGATGTAGCCATTCTTGTATTTTGCTCGTTTGTGTTATTGTGTTTGCACAACTCTGTTGCTTGTGGGGCTCGCACACAAGAATTTCACTCGCATGTGCTGTGCCAGTGTGCCTGCACATGTGATGTGACAATAAAAGTGATTTGATTTGATTTGATTTGGCCACTTGAGGCTGGCTTTGAAAAGCAGTCAATTCTTGTCATGCTCTAAATTTGTAAAATGCAAGGAAACAAAAGCATCTTTGATCTGTACAGTCCCACGTAAAAAATCTCCAAAACATGTTTACAGTCGACCACTGTAGACAGTTTTCCACCCTCAAACAACTCTGAGGGTCCTTTTTTTTTTTAAAGGTATTCTGGAGGTGGAGGTGTGCCAGCTTTAATTAAAGAGTTTAACTGACTGTAGCGTATAACATTTAATCGACTAGTGAACTGTTCACATGCCACACTCAGTCTGTGTCTGCCTACAACACTACAATTTAACTGGATCATAATAGCTAGTTATCTGCTATGAGCCAGGCTGCACTAAAGAGGTGAGAGCTCAACAAGAGTGATGCGCTGTTCTTTACCACTAAAATGTGGTTAATTCAAAACTCAGTTTGGTAACCTGCGCAGGCATACTAGCATATTCAATTATATGATAATAGCCACTTTTTAAATCTCCTCTAAATCAGTAACAAATCAAGATCAAGCATCTGCCCCGGAACACAACAGAACTGATAATGAAATGCAATTTTGTGAGGTAAAAATGATCTAATAATGCCTGGCAGGCATCTTTTTCAGGCTTTTATCTTTTTAACTACTTTACATGGAAGATAAGCAACACAACAGCTGGCACATGTAATCTCACTGTGGTAAGCCGGTAACAGTAACGTCATAGTCTAAATTTGCAAACTGCAGACAAAGAAAAGCCAAAAAAGAGGAAAAAAAAAAAGGACGCCTTTTGATGTGTACAATGAAGGCCGTACAGATCACAGGGTGTTATTATGGCTGAGGGACACAAACAGGTCATGCATTTAGGACAGAAGCTGTTCTGAATTGTGCATGCTACAGTCCAATTTGGAGCCAAACAGAAAATGCTCTAAATAAAAATTCAAAGGCTTTGGGGGATCTTTCTGATGTCAGTAAGTTCAAGTACATCTTTAGCCCAAAGCCACTGGCTGGTAATTGTTAAGGTCTGGAAGGTGGTTGAAACGAAAAACACCAAAATGCCTTTGATTCACATTGCTTAAAAAGGCACAGTCGTCATCCTCTCTGATGCAGCAAGACAATAGACAATGAATATTTTATAAGTCACCCATCTGAAAGCCAATAAAGCTGAGCTGTGGTAATGATGGTCCATCTCTGCGCCCTTCCATTCTCACTAAGCGTTTCCAGCAGGCTTGCTCAATGTTAAATTAGCCCTCTAGACTACTTAGACAGGATTCATTGCGAGAAAGTGCTACAATATGAATCACATTAGCTTCAAAATTAAGAGGTTTTACCCATATTTTTGGTTCACTGCTGTAGCTGCTTCATGAAACAAGAATGGCCCTAAAATAAAAGGCAGTCCTCTTCAATCATTAACACAGACTCAAGAAGAAACGGTGTCTCCAGAGCCCATCTGTGTGCTGCATCTTAAATCCAGTGAGCTATGAGGATGACCAAACTTGAATGGATTTGCTTTTCCCTTATTGACACAAAGTCGAAATGTTACAATCGGCTGGCAGGCCAAGGCTCCATAAAGGCATGGAGCTCTAACTGGTACTGAATGGCGTGTGTGTGGATAGATTGCCATCTATTAACTTCACACAGTCTTCCCCCATTTCACTCGTCACTCAGTCTCGAACCATGTAATTAGAATACAGGACAGAGGCTCTTACAGGTGTGAATTAAACACCTCTATTTGAATGGCAGCTTTTCAAAGAGAAACAGTGACTGGATCACATTAATGAACCTGAATCAAATGGTAATTCCACTTATGCAAATAAGAAAATTCTAATTAATTCATATTGACTGATCCCACGTCACCTCTGTGGCTTCAGAGGAGACATGCGGCCACAGGCAAACACTCAGATGCTGATTAGTGGTGTCAGGAAATTCTGCCTTTTAAGGGTTTTCCTCCTCTCCTGTGTGACTGTATCTTACCTGCTTTTTGGGTTTGTAGGATTCTCTCGTACACCCCCTCTGAGCTCTCTAGCAGCGTCTTGCTGGTCTGGATTACCTGAAAGCACACAAACATATTTGCTCACATTTGCCTTTAGTTTCCACATCAGCAAAACTAGCATCCCACAACAAAGCAGGAAGCAGTCTGTCTGCTAGCAGGCAGTTTCTATCCAGGGAGTGCTTAGAAAACAAGTTGTTATTACAGGGGATGTGAGTGGGCCAGGCTGCTAAATTGCATTTTTGAAAGCCAAAATTAGAGGGTAGGAGACACAAGCAATTAGGTTGTTTATTAAAAGTTACTTTTCTTCCCTGAAACACCACCAGTGTCCTGTTTTAAATGAGAAAAATATATATGTGCAAATCTGACTTTGGTTGGAAAGTATTTTTTTCAAAGGAAGTGCTGATAATTAAGGTCATTTCAATTAAAAACATGTCAGTCATTCTCAAGCAGCAACACCATTACTGTGTTCTCTGTGAAGCTGCAGCTGCGACAGATGCTAAGTTTAGCTCCTCTGGTCTTATGCGCACCTCTAATTGAGTGCACAAACTCTGCTGACCTGCAGACTGTTGAAACTCTTGTGGCAATCCATTTACATATTAAATGCCAGCGCTGCTTCTTCCTAACAGTAAACAAAAAAAATAAAGAAATAACGAAAACATTTTTTTAACACAAGGAAGACGGCAGCAGCATGTTGTTTCAGGAGGTTAATGGTGCATATGTAGGCTGTCAGAGACGGGGGTAAATAAGCATGGAGTAAACAGGGTGCCTGGAAGACCATCTGGATCTTTTGCCACAATTATTTTAGTAATAGCTTCATTTTTTTCATCTGATGGGGATGCTATTTATACCCTAATGTTACTGCACTTTTGATTTCAATTAAGTGCCTGTAGGTTACTGGTGCGGCACGGTCGTAATTGACTTGTTCACTCCCGGTGTGACTTAAGCATATAGAGGTTGTGCTGCGAAGCCAGGCGGCCCGGCTCAGCTGCCAAGATGGAAATTAAGGAATGATGAATAATGTTTTATTGCAGAGATCGGAGAGACAAAGCCAAAAACAAGCATCACTGTGGCCCCAACATCAATCTTTGGAGCCTGCCAGTCAGATCCCAGAGAAGAGGGAAATCAGGGAGGCCCGTATAGAGAGCGATAGAGGGGAAAATATATAGTACTTAATCCAACAGAGGCTGTACTTCACTGCTCTGACAGTCTTACTGTAATGACGCAGTCCCACCTCGTCCTTAACTGGTGCTTAATCTGAACAAAACTTTGCACGAATATTATCACACATACACTGATGATTAACAGTTCTTTGGATTTTCATGTATATTATCTTCATCTCATCATCATCCTGCAATGCAATATTACGTATTCTGTTTGTGTCTGCTTCGCGTGTCATGTTCAGCATACGCCGACCATACGTTACTTAGCAGGCATCAAAATTTCTATCCGCAACTGAACTTTGTTGCCGAGTTACAAAAGATACGTAGGGAGAATTTGAAAAAGTGCGACAGGTCTGGTTTGTATTTAATAAAGCTGTCTCTTTAAACAAAATCAAAACTATGGTACATTTTACTACCATATATCTTCCTTCCAGAAGCACATTAGGCTTTTCTCATTTCTCATACTTCTCAAGGACAGAGGAGAGAGGAGTAATACTCGAGGATGCACAGAAGCGATTTTACCATCAGAATGTAAAAGGCGTGGCACGCAGCTGACCTATACAAACACAGGTGACACGACGACACCACAAACAACTAGATCTTTGCACTCGCATGCTGTTTCAGTTATTTGCAATTTGGTTAATCGCCTGCATGATAGCCTACCTTGTCACATTGCACCATGGTGTGAATTGCATCATGTGATCACATATCTGAATCAATAAAATACAGCAGTAGCTGGACTACAACAAAATTTATGTTGCTGCTGTGCCAGCTTTGATGGCTGAGAGGCGAGGATGTCTCATTTTGTTGAATCCCCGTTGCCTCGATTATTCTCTCCTCGCATCTCTGGTAGGAGGGACTAAGATGCACGGGAAGGATACAAGGAAAGGAATCGAGGGTGTATAATCCATGAAATTAGAGAGCTTTGTTTGTTCCTACCGTTTTGGTCTTTTCAGATGTGTTAATAAGGAAAATATGAAATAATGCCAGCCTTATCCTTTATGAGCATGTCGACAGACTTGTCACGGCCTGAGCTGCTATTCTTTCTAACGCACTCTAAGAAAATAAGTGAGAACACAGCAGACGTTTTCTGAAGATAAATATGAACGTGCAGCCTTTTTCCCCCCGAAGCATGACTATGCAGAGTCATTGCCTGATACTGTGCTCAGTATGGGGGACAGACACCGTTGCACAAACCCATATGGTGACTCACCATGTTCTTCTACAGGCAGTCATGACTAAGTGACTGTGGCTGTTTGTCTCACTCTGCAGCTGCAGTTGCGGCACTTAGAGCTGCCTCACACACTGTGATTACTTTCCTGATGGGTAAAGAAATTACTGTCTTGGTGGCAGACACAGCAAATCAAGCGTCTTTAAAGGCATATTCTAGTAAGGTAAGTGGGTGGACTGCTCCCTATTTGCACACTAAACTGCATCCTCTAAATGTTATGGCCGTTGTTGTTATTATTATTACCACCCACATTAACAAAGACACAAATGGTCTTTTATTTTCAAGGTGACGTTAGTTCAATGATAGATTTCTGCAAACTAAAACTAAAAAGAGAATATATATTGTGAACAACAACTTTAATGTTATTAAAAATATTGTGTTAATGAGTCTTGTTTGATGTATGCGGTTGAACTGCAGATAACAGACATCTTAGCAGAACCATTCTAGAACAAAGTTTATTCCCCAATAAAAGCCTAACATATGGGTTTTGAAGTCCCCTCGGTTCAGTGTTTCAAAGACTTTGTATTTTCTCCATCCACACTCTGTGCCCTTAGTTAATCTGTTGTGAGTACAAACAGAAATCGGACCATATTACCTAAGAGCTCGAGCTGGCATACTACCGAGTCTCTCCAGCTTTTTCTCTTAGCACACAAATGGGCAGCATTGAGACCCACATTCTATTTTTGCCAATCAGGAGCTGAAAGCCTGGCTACTCCCTGCGGTGGATTTTGACACACTACCAGAATTTCTAATTGTACTTATCCATACATTATTTAACATTATTTTAAGGTTGCACTCCCTCTTTTTCTTACGCGTATGCACTTGTCAGCTCATCTTTTGCCGCCACACCTTTCTGCTTGCCATCACTTCTGGCACTCTGCTGATGATCAAGGCCTGCAGCTTCACACCACTTAAGCCCTTGATCTTAATTTATTTGATTTTAGTCCCCAAACACCCGTCATTTTCTTCTTTCTTCCTCTCCAACTCAATTTTCCTGGCGCTCCTTCCATCAGGGCCAATTACCTAGCTTTCCGTTCTCATGTCTGAATAGAGCAGAGGGGTCACCTTAATCGGTCTGCATCAGAGTCCTTTTCCTATGTTCGTCCTTGAGTTGCAAGGTATGAAGCTTTTGCCATTTCCATTTTTTTAGTTTAATGCATAATGTATCATTTGGATAACAAATAATGCAAATGCACAGGTGTATTCTTTGAATCCAGAGTTGAACCTAAAGACAAAAGAGCCAAGAACTGTAGTTTCTCTAATGGCCACATGGGACTAGTAGGTAAGCCAGTGTTGTATTAACACGTCCATCTTTCCAGCAGTAAAAATCATATTTACAGCCTGGTTTAAAAAAAGATTTTGGACTTTCTTTTCTTGAATGTTCATACCTAATCTATGTGTTTATTAAGTTTTCAAATCAGAGACAAAATTGTTTCTCTTGTTGCTGTGCTTTTGCCTCCTTGTTCATGTTGTGCCAAGAATCAGTGTCAGAGAACATCGTGTTTTAAGGTTAATGGTGTAGCTGGGAATAGCCTCAATGGCATGTTGCATAACTTGTAAACATTGATTTTATTACTTAACAGAACTTCAGCCCTGTTACCTAACCATCTCTGTGTGTCCCCATTAGGTCAGTAAGCCCAGGTATTGATCTGATTGGCGTTGGTTTGCCTTGTTAGATCATCCCTTCCTGTTGATGGCAAAAGCATGCATGAGTGGAATGGGTTGCTGCCAAATACAAATTAAGTTTTCTTTTCTATGCACTGCAAAAGAACCACGAGTTTGGACAACAAAGACAGAACACACTTAGATCCAGACGACAAGAGATTAAATTATATCTGCTACTTTGTTTCTAGACATTATTTCAGGTCATGGAATTGAATGCCTCTCTCCTCTTTTTATTTACTGTCATTTTTGATATTCACTAGAGTTACTACTGTGTAAATAAAGTAAATGAATCATGCAAAAAACTTCTCACCATGTCATATGTGGTAACGACTTTCTTTAGGACCTCTGGTAGCAGGCCTTGAGGCTCTAAGTTGGGGTACTGCTCATTGAGGTTGAACACCAGAAGGGGGTTATTGTCAGGCCCAGTCAGTCGAGGGGAAAGGGCCAAGATGCACTGCTTCAGGTTAGCCACCGCTGAAAGGCCGCACAGCTCTTTAAAGGACGCTATGGCATTCTGCAGAGAATGGAGAAAGCGTAATTACAGTCTGGCTTGCATGAACTTATGCTGGTTTACACTGGCATGCCAAGCAAAACATGCATCAAATGGCATAAGCATTACAAAAAGTCTAAAAGGAAAGGAACCTAATATTCCAGCTTTCGAAAATATGCCCTTCATCTGCCCCACAACCGCACAGAACAGCACTTTCTCAAAGGAAACGCCTGGAAGCTCATTCATTACCTGTGGGAACTTTCATTTTGGCTCTTATAAGCCACTCATAAACACTCAATCCTTTTGGACTGACACCAGGTTCACAAAGACACACAGACACACACAGAGACACAAACACCCTAACCTTTCTGTGAAAGGCCAAATTTAAATCCTACATAAACAAGCAGAGGGAAAAACTGGCAGGAGGGCCAAGATGTGTTATAATCACAAGGCCAGTGGCTTGTTATCACACAACGACCGCAATATAAACAACGCTACCAAAATAAAACCTAATACAACGCCTGAAGAAACACAACCTGAGACCATCCACAGTGCAGAGACACTCGAGCAGTGTATTTCCTATGCAGCCCTTTGCATTTCTTTGAAAGCTTGAACAATGACATAAATGCCTCTTTTTCTGAAAAGAGGGATCGGAGTAAGTCTGTCTGGACTGGAGTCCATTAAACACTGTGGGTTAAAGCTAAGCAGTTAAAACAAACAGCTTTATATTGTTTTTCCATCACTGGTACCATTAAAAAATGTGGTCCAGTTTACACAATAGAAGTTATGAATAACTTCTATAACATGGATCGTTAAAACATGGATCTCACCATTATGTTTGCTCGTTTCTCTCCATTCCTTGACACACATAAGGACTTGGTCAAATCTAATTCAGTCCAGGGTGGTGGTTTTTGTGTTTCCTTTCCAAAGATGAAGTCTTTTAAATCAACGGTCCCCAACCCCCGGGCCTCGGACCGGTACCGGTCCGTGAGTAATTTGGTACCGGGCCGCGAGAGTAGAGGCTCAGGTGTGAAATGTATGGTTTTCAGGGTTTTTATCGGTTTTCAGCGTTATTTTGTTTTCGTTTTTATCGTTAACTCGGTTTTCCTGGGTTTTTTCACCTGTGTTATGAATAAATCTTCTTTTTTTCGGTACCGGTACTAGTTTTATTTTGTTGTATTTATCCGCGACACCTTAAAGGCCGGTCCGTGAAAATATTGTCGGGCATAAACCGGTCCGTGGCGCAATAAAGGTTGGGGACCGCTGTTTTAAATTACTTTAGATGTCTTGTATTAAATCTAGTTATAATTAATAGATTGTGTTCAGTCTACTGTTCAGATGTGTTCAGACATAAACTTTCCATGCATATCCATGCAGTACAAAATATATCTTGGATGACACTGTTAATTCAGACCCACTCTAGTTAATCACACAAAAAAAGGGTGGGAAAAAAAATCAATACTTCATGCCTTACCTGCATGTTTTCTCTGAGGTCTGTTGCCTCTCTCAGTGGCTGAATGGCTGTTTTGAAGACATCATCCAGAGCTTTGATCAATAGCACCCTCATGCTTGCATACTCTCTACTCCTCTTGCCTTTTCGTACAGACAGCCCCCTTTTGTGAGGTTTGCCGCCTCCTCTTCGATTGGTTATTGCCACATGAACAAACAATAAGGTATGTGGCAGCACTTCCCCTGTCAGAGACTGCAGCGGAACATGGCGGAAACCTGGCTGCAGACACTCAAACGGGATTGTGTATTGACCGATAAACTCATCGCCAATATAGTCGTCATCCAGCACCACAAAGCGCACCATTGCAAGTTCGGGGAGGTTTATCTGAAACTCGAAGCTCTCGTCAAACAGAGGGTTGTCCCCGTTTTGGTTGACCGTTTTAGTCCTTTGCTCAGCGCAGTCGGCGGGAATGCCGTGTATTTCGACATACACGTAGGGATCTACTACGTCTCCTTTGGCACCTGAGCCTTTGGGTTTTGGAAAGTTTTGTCCACTGATAATCTTGATGTGCAAGAGCTGTGGAGAAACACCAGGCACTGAATCTTTAGTGTTGGCACTGAAATATGAAACCTGCTCCCTCATGATCGCTGGACGCAGCACATAACCACAGTTCCCATTCTGACGGAACCAGCCAATGTTTAAATCCATCATCAGGCCAGGAGTCTGGTAGTTCATTGCTACAATCTGACAGCCACACTTCCAGAAATCTTGTGGATTCATGTTGCTGGAGTCAATCCGCATGGGACTAGGGTAAACCCGTGCTAGGAACTTCTTGTTATAGTTAACAAAGTCACCTGGGAATTCACTGGCACAGCGACTGGCAAAGACTTCATTGAAAGAGCACAGCTCCCAATGCTTCTGTTTTTGGAAAGATGTTGGAAAGTCTTTGAACTCCACAGACTTGCACAAAGTCACCAGATCAGAGAGCTCCTTGGACAGCTGAAATTTCTTGAGTGCAACTGTTTGTTGTTCAGCAGTCTCAATGCTCATCCTTTGAGACATCTCTGCCCCTTCATCCTCATCTGTCACCTCACCTTCTGAAGCAGTGCAATTTGTGCCCAACTTCTTACCCTTCAGTAGGATCTTCCCCTTTAGTTCATTAGGAGATGGAAGGTAACAGTCCTCAGGTTTTGGAGGATCTAGGTGGAGCTTGTCTCCAAGGATTTTCTTTAGGTGCTGGAACATGACTCTCTGTTGCTTCAAGGAACAGTGGTTTTCTAAGCACAGTATCAATGGAAACTCAGAGGCAACAAAGGCATATTTGTTAATGACGTCAATGACACTGCGAAAAACTATCTGTGAGGTCATTGTGTGACCAGTGTAAATTACAGGTTCATTATCAGGTCCGTCCCACACATCCAGCTCTACACTGCGGCAGCCCATCTTGAGAGCACGGATATAGCCTGTCACATCAGAGGGGCCTCTGAACTGATCTTCTATCAGGTAGGTGTTGTGTGATGCATTGATGTAGTAGTGGGACAAGGGTTGGTTCACGTCTTGGCAGACTGATTTATGTTCAGGGTCAAATATATGGCACTCTGAGGACATAAGATAGTTAGAGAACCCGTCCAAAGACAGCCAACCTTTGAGCTGGCCCTCTTTCGATGGCTCATATTTCTGAATTACGTCAAAGCTGGTCTCTTCGCTGACTTGTGCCATTCCCTGTTCTGCCTCCAGAAATATCATTAAGTCCTTGGTATCAAGAAATTCTTTATTACTGGAAAACTGAACAAAGAGAAAATATATTTCTGGTCTGGTACAAAGATCGTGAAAGACTTCAATGAACTCCTCTTTTGCCACATCCGAACCTGATTTGTCCTTAACTTTATGCAGCTCCTTGAATTTCAGTTCTATTTTCACATTTTTGAGTCCCGGATTCAACTTTTTGACTAACTGTACAGCAGTGCATATAGAAAGTTGCTTGCTGTTTGTAGTATCCTCCTCATCAAAAAGCTCACCTAACCACGATGAGCGCATGTTGTTCTGACTGCTCTCAATCATATTTAAGGTATGTTTCCCATAGGATATCAGGTACCTCAGCCCTGTGACCCACGTGTTGGCTACATCTGCAGTGTTCGCCACCAAGTCTAGGGACTCATAGTTCTCCCCAAAAATGACAGAGAAAGCACAGTCCTCCGAAATCTGATCATAGGTTCCATTAGTTCTAAAAGTATCTGTGTTTTTGCCTGTCCGAACCTCTTTGATAGATTTTACATCGATTTTAGCCTTGTCTACTTCCTTCTTTGAAGGCTCCCATCTCAAAGACTGCATGTCGGCGTCAAGGAGAAAGTAGCGATGGTAAATGCGCGAATTGGATCGCACTTTTTTGAGCTCAGACCCATCAACCATGGCACTGATGCAATCACTTGCGCTACTAATCTTCTTCTCAGTGGGCATGCTGCTGAATGAGACAGTCTTCTTTCTTTCCTTCCGCTGTTTTCCATCCTGCAGAGAAAAGGAAAAACACTGTGTATCAATAGAAATCTTTTCATTTAAAGTACAGGAAACAACAACAACAATGAAAATATGACAGTATGCAGTTATAATCAAGGTTTAACTTTAAAGGGGTAAGCCAGTCTAGGCTTACTTAAATCATATACTAAAAAAGTACTGTTCCGTGTGGATCACTATTTTGTTTTTTCCCCCAGGTTAATTTTAGAGTCATCAATCTCTCTAGCAGACCTGTAGCACAATCTCCACATTTTTTATTTCTTTCCAACTCAAGAAAAATCTAAATACAGCACCCAGCATGCTGCCCACTCTGACATACTGTTTGCCCAGATAGTCCTCCTTCTTGGTCCAACAGCAGCAACCTTGTTGGTTGACTTAAGGCACCTGTCGCTGTGTATTATACAGATACAACAAGGAATCTCCCTTAGGAGAGCATCACCCACACAAATCCAGTCATCTACAGCAGTCACACGTCTGACATTTTCAGTGAACCCTGCTCTTTCCATCGCAGCAGTTCCCTTCAGTACAACAGCATTTTACACTTGACATTATTGAAGTCATTTCACAATTTTAGAAAAACCCACACCCTTATTAATCATCCTGTGGCAGCATTGTTCAGCTATATGATGTAACTAGACTACGTTGCAATACATTCCAGTAGAAACATCAACCTTTATTTTCTTTTAATCTAACGACTGAATGAGTGAAATGCTATTGTTTTTAGAGGCACAAAGGGATTGGCTACTCATTATTACATCATGTATATAGAGGTCAAGATGCAGCAAAAGCAATGGACACTCCTGATAGTTCTCCCTGCTGCCGACAGCCCACTCTCAGTGAGATTGTTTATTAGTTTGTACAATTAAGATGTCTAAGTAGCTGGAATGATGAGGATGGAAGGCTGAAACAAAATCTTCTCTAACATAAAAACCATCTATACAACCAAGCGTAGTAACAAACATCTTACATAACAGAAATGATCAAGCAAATCTGTCAGTAGGCGCTTCTGAGATGAAACACAGACCGAAACAATTATATAATGTAATTTTTTTTCCAAATTGATTCATCAGCATCTGTGTGTTGGAGTATAAAAAAACAGACACTGACTCTTATCTTGTGCCCCTGTAATGATCATGGATGGACCTTATTTTGCAGTCTGTTGCTTAAGGTCAGTTCTTGCCCCAACCTAAAATGGGAATTCCTTACATAATCCTTCTGATCTGGACAAAAAGGTGGATTTTAGGATAGTCATCAGTAGGCAGTAACCATAATACAGTCAGTATAAGGAGATAAAAATACTGCACACACCCAGTGTGTACCTATTGTAGTGCACACACCCAGTGCACTACAATAGGTATAGATTGCCAAAGCACCCTTGTCTTACCATTTAATGTTTCCTTACAAAAAAAAACTGTTATGCAACAGTCTTTTTTTCAGTCAGGTGATCCACAATACTGCAAGCTGCAAGTGCAGCTTCATTTAGCCTTACATGGTTTTCAAAAGACAACATGATCATGATCAGATGGGCTATTTATAGCTACATTTATTTGTTTTATAGGGTACATATTAATCTCCATCACTTATCTCTGTTCATCTGTTTCTTTGCCAAGTCAAAGCACAGCACCAGATCAAGCTAGCTACAATTTCCCCGTAATGTTAGCAGTTACAAGAAAGATGGTGATCTTTCTTTCCCTGCTGACTTTTAGTCAGATTTAAAGGACCTTTATTTGGGATCCGTGGTCAAAAATTAAGGGCTGTAACTTCATTAGAGTAGAAAAGTTCCACAGGACCATATGTTAGAAAAGTATGGGTGTAAATATATATCATGAGCAAGACATTATAGCACCAGTAAGTACAAGCTGTATTCAGTACTTATCAACCTTATCTAACCCCCGCTCAGTCTGTTTAACATCACTGTGTGGTAACAAGGACTGTAAGCAAACACAGAAACATTATTTTCTTGGGTAAGCATCCAAAATACATGACCGTGCCACGCTATTAGTCATCCCTTCTTTGAATCCTCTGCAACAGAACAATACACAGCAGGACAATGGAGGTTCCGGTTTTGAGAAATATTCTGCATTGATCCTCATTTCATTATGTTTATTACAGATGGTTTCGTTTTTTTACTTTTATTACTTTATTAATTTTGTTGAGAGAAGGAAACCCGTGCTGCATTGTTAGGGCACGACAGTAGAACGCAAATGAGAATATTAAACGTTTTGTTTGTGCTTCACAATGCTAAGATAATACCCTGGGTATTACCATCAGACACCCTGAAAAGAGAAGTTAATTCTAAGCCTGTATGTATGGTTTCAGTGTATGTTCGATATCTGTGTGTGTGTGTGTGTGTGTGTGTGTGTGTGTGTGTGTGTGTGTGTGTGTGTGTGTGTGTGTGTCGACAGCAAGATAGTGGGGGAGAGAACCAAGTAAGACTGCATATGTCCAACTGCTCAAAGATCCCATAGGAGTCTGAATTCCCTAACGGACGGAAAACTGCATTTTTTTTCTGGCTCAGCGAGCAGTTATGAACTGTCTGTGCAACTGAAGACATCACATGGGACCCATTACTCTTTGCTCTACTGTTCTACCTAAATCCTCCACAACAACCATCACCTCAGTCTCACTGCAGCATAAATCACCTTTTAGCTCGGTGCCAGGACAGGCTTAAATATACAGTAACAAAAATTAAGTGAATGAAATGAATTTCATCTGAGTACAAATGTAACAAGCAGCCACAAATGTGCCCCTTTGTGATGGTGCATGGCCCTTATTTACTGCTAATTTATAAAATCACAGTCGTCAACAAGAATTCCTACAGTGTCTCAACTGTTAGGGGTCTTAGAAAGAAAACAGTATATTATATATATATACCTTTACACAAAGCCAAACTGATGTACTGGACAGCTGATATTGGCCTCGCTCAGATATGGCCATATCAGGGTATATCGCTTTAGATATGCAACAAATATAAACAATGAGGAAAAATTACCCATTTCTTGCAAATAAATAAATAAGAAATTCAAGAGGAACTGTTTTTTGAAGATCACCCTCCTTTCACAAAGCATTCCCAAATAGTTGTGGCTGATTTGTTACGTGGCAGACTTTGTCCAAACATAAAATGAGGTCTAGTCCAGAGGTCCAAAAAACTACTAACATTTTTGTTAGTAGTCGTCTTCAGATTTCCATGTGTCCTCTGCTTGCATAGCAACATCTAATCTCGCCCCTCTATACAATCTTCTCGTGCCTGGCAGCTCGAAATGCGTTCTTCAGTTTCAGTTGTTTGCCAGCTTCCAGATAACCAGATAACAGTAAAAGCAAGAGAAAGAAATATTGAATACAAAAATATTTGCATATTTTAGCTGAGCTAAGACTTGTGCAGCGCTAAGGGACTACAAGAGCTGCAGAGCTTCCTGACAAACTACCTGATGTAACTCATTGTTACCACCTGGGGGCAATGCTAAAAACTTGTTGGACGACTGGAACAGACTTGTTCCTGCTTGTGCACGCAACGTAAACCAAAGTGCACAAACACCAAAAACAAAACAATACACTGGGTTTTATTACGTAAAAAATTATTTTAACTAAGAAAAAGAAACATGAGATATTATATTGCAGTTTAGCTCACTAATACACTATACAACAACAAACAACCACAATCTTCTAGTAATGAGAATTCGGTTTTATTAAAATTAGCAAATAGGGACTTTTTGTTCTCCAGCTGCACTGCTGTCAAATCCCAGGGGAGTTCAGACCTGGTGCAGACCCAGCTGTTTTTATGTACCATATGGTAAGAGTCTGTTGGTCACATGAAGTGTGAAAGAGGTAACACAAGATAAATCTAACAACTCTGCCATTTCCTGAGTGGATATAAATGAAACTTGTGACTAAAACTTGTTTTTCACACGAGTTTTCCATGCTGAAATAAAAAAGGAATATGTATTTAAAAAGGCCAACCTGCTGTATCTTTCCCATACAGTTTAACAGATTCAACTTTCATTTATGCAGGTGTTTGTCTTCTGTTTGTTTTTCTGTGCAGTGGTTCAAAATAAGAACTTTTTGGTTGGGTATTTCAACCATCCATTTCTTAATCTCTAAGAGGTTTTGTGTTGTGTAATCTAACTGACATGGAGCGGATTGATCAGCTGTGGCCTTTTTTGTCAGTTTGCTCAAAAGATGGCAGCCTGCAATAACTGTACTATCTACTCTTTTAGGGGCAAATAATAATCCATGCCATTGTCCAAGATTGACTCACCAGACAAGGAGATTAGTGGAAGAAGAAAATCTAAAATCCACCAACCAAGCATATCTTTTCATTTAAAATAGTGAATTACCTATTTTCTATCACATATTAATTTGCTACAGTTATAGATTGGCAAATGATATCTCTTAGACTAAGTAGAGTTTAAGTTAGATGATTAGGAAAAAGGTCAGGGTTAGAGAACAGACCTTCCTAGGATACAAGAGGGGTAATGTTTAACTCCCACAAAGTGTGAGTAAATCAGGACAGGGTGTCCACCACCTAGCATGTGAGAAGCTAACCAAAACAGTCATAATGAACTATGCTAAGAATCTCTACCCTGTTAACGGGCACTCTGGTTATGCCCTCGACTTATTTAGGTCACAATCTGACACACATTTTATTTCCATCTTTTATTCCATCTTTATGGCTTCTCCAGCCAAGACATGATTACTAGCCAGTCAAATCAAGGAATATGATGGGGCTGATCAATTATGGAAAAAATATCTACTTGCAATTATATTGGCATGTTCTGAGATCAAGATTAATTAACACCATAGCTGGGTGTTTGACACAATCGTGCATTTGTTGAACTTTTAAGGAAAACTGGCATTTTTTATTTGCTTGTCCTTGCCGGGCTTCTCGAAAACAAAGTGTGTGCGAAGGGCTGAACTGGTTTTTACTACTCTTTGTAATCAAAGCTGATCTAAACCTGCCACATCCTGTAGGGGGATGTGTTTGAGGTTTAACGAAG